AGAAGAGGTGCCATTGAATGACTCCCAAGATCGATAGATTTATCACCTTTGGATTTCTTTATGTGGGGTCATTTAAAAAGCAAAATATATGCTACCCAGCCAACATCATTAGAGGACCTGCGACAAAGAATTGTGAATGAGTGCCTTCAAATTACTCCTCAAATATTGCAAAATGAGCGGCAACGTTTTGAGCAAAATCTTTATTATTGCATGGAGAGTCATGGTGGCCATTTTCAACATTTACTTGCCTAACGGGTCAGTTCATTCTTCATTTTTAAATTACTTTGCTGCCAAATGTATTGATCTCCTCTAACGATGATGTATTAGTTTTATTTAAGCTTTAAATCAATAAATCTTCAAAACTACTGAACTGAAGTACATTAATTTTATATCATTATAAAGGGAATTGAAAGACCATTAAAATAAGGTATCACTCGACCCGCCTTTCCATTTAAGATTTTGGGGGTGGTGTCACCCCCGCTTAGTGGGCTGCACGTGCTAACGTGATTTTTTGCCAAACTTCTGTCCCCCTCGAAAACAAAATCGACGGCTCTTTCAAAAAAAACTGAGCTGCAAGTAAATGCGTCTGTTTCGTTTTCGATGCGCCACCCTGTATATACATAAATGTGTAATAGCTACAGGGTTGAACTTTAAATGTATTTTTACCTAAATTTATGTTGCAAATACACATTATTATTTTTATTCATATTATTATTATTATTATTATTGTTATTATTTTTATTATTATAACCCATTTTGAAGGCTAAAAGACATCTTTAGCAACGGTTCATCATACTGTGAGGGCTGATCAGATCGTAATCTGTGTTGGAAAAGTGAGGTGAAGGTTGGGTGGAACGTGTAACCAATTTTTTTTTTTAAACCTTCAATCTGATTATTTTCAGTTCAGCGTCTGCCAAATTGTATTCCTCCATATTTGATGGTGCAACTATCTACCTCCTGACCCATCAAAGCTTTTTCTTGTTGTTTTTTTTTATCTGCTCACGTGACTTTCAGCCTTTTCGCTAACATTCCACTAAAATCTGGACTCAAAAGGTCACAAATATTAACCAGAAGCTCCTTCATGGTCGGTATCATGGAATAGACTGAATCATGCACGTCTAAGCCAGGAATTCTCAACCAGCGGGGCGCGCCTCCCAAGGGGGGCATTGAGAGATGTCAAGGGGGGCTGAAAGCGTTTATATTTTAGAAAGAAAAAACAAAAAAAATAAACAAGCAACATTAACAAGTAACATTACAATGTAATGTTTAATTTCACGCATAAAATTAGAAATTAAATATCATATTCACTTATTCTGTCAACCCCTGTTTCAAAACCCGGCGTCGTCAATCGCAGTTTATACAAGTTTCGACAAGTCACAACATGAAATATGCACACACCCCCGCCGCGCCGCGCTTAACATTCACCACATAGAAAACAATTGTGTACCTACCAGACGCGGATGATGAGCATCTGTGTCTGTGACATTCACTCCCACAAACTTGCGAGAAATTTGACGTTTCGATGTACATGTTTTGTTGAGGAATCTGTTTCAGTGTGTCAAAGTATTGTGTCTCACTGTTAAAAGTTAAATTTGTGTATTTACAGACTTCAGTTACCATTTTTATTTAATTTACTAAAATTACTAAACGACGAACTTTAAGTAACTAATATTGATTCCAAATGTATTTAAAATTACTATTAAAACGTCAAACTGCCTACAAAAATATAAATCCCCCGGTGGTCAATATACTGCTGAATACATTACGATAATAAGATAAAATAATGAGCATATATGTATATACTAAGTGACATATAAATCCGAACACCCAGTTTAAATGGTTTTATTTTAATAAAAGTTGGTGAATGTATTTATCTTACTGTAAATAACAAGTGAAAAAATTTTCAGCCTTATCAGTTGGACATTCCGGTTTTTATACTGCTTTTTTTTAATTCACTAACGCTCTAAAAATGAATATTTCAGCCGCAGTAAGGAATCAACGTTGGCGGATTTTGGTTCTTGACATCCTTTACGATCGGTTACGATGCCTAGAGTACGGAGACCTCTACGATTTCGTCAACTTAGTGAGTTTGATAGGGGCCGTATAGTGGGACTTCGGGAAGCTGGACTTTCTTTTCGGGCAATTGCAGTTAGAGTGCAAAGAAGTGTAGACGCTGTGGTTAGGTGTTGTCAGGCATGGCTTCGAGAAGGCCGTACGCAAAGAGCAAGGGGCACTGGACGCCGCCGTAGAACAACAGACCGTGAAGATCGCCGCCTAAGATTATTGGCCTTAAGGGACCGTTTCTCCACTACCAGGTCCATTGCAAATGAATGGTTTGCAGAACACGGAAGACCTATTGGCATGCGAAGTGTTTACCGACGAATGAGAAGTTTTGGCTTATTTTCATACCGGCCACACTGGGTCCTCCCTTTAACTCAAGAACACCGACGTAGTCGCCTTGAGTGGTGCAGATAACGGTCACTCTGGGATCAGGAATGGAACAGTATTGTCTTTAGTGACGAGTATCGATTTTGTTTAGGCATGCACGATGGTCGTGCCAGGGTTAGAAGGCGACGTGGTGAAAGGAGGAATCGACAGTTTTTTGTTGAAAGACATGTTCATCACACTGTTGGAGTTATGGCTTGGGGTGCTATAGCTTATGGTGCCAGGACACTTTTAATCTTCATCAGAGGTAACATGAACGCGCAGTGTTATATCCACGAAGTTCTAGAACCCCATCTTTTACCCTATCTTGACACCCTGGCAGATCCAACTTTCCAACAAGATAATGCCCGACCACATGTTGCAAGAGTCACAATAGACTTCTTTCAACATAATGATGTCACATTGTTACCATGGCCACAAAGATCTCCCGACTTATCCCCAATTGAGCACGTGTGGGATATGATGGGTAGGAGATTGCTCAATTTGCAACGTCCTCCTCAGACTCTAGAAGCACTTCGAGAGGAGTTGGTGGTTGCCTGGAATTGTAACGGTTTCACCGTCCGATCGTATTTATTAAATCACTTCTCGATTATCATTTCATTAATCCCATCTCTAGCTTTTTTGCTTGGAAAATTTTCCGCTTGGAGCGCTTGATGCGGAGTTCCTGATCTGCGATCTTCCTCGCGCTTCCTTTTCACTTGAGCCGCCGATCGAACAACGGCTAGAAATTTCTTCTCTGTAGCACAAGGTTATATAGCACCATGTGCTAGAATTTTCTAGAATGTGTGTCCGTATAGGACAAAAATGGTGAGTTTTATAATACTATACAGTTTTATTGCTGGATCTGCCTGTAGTTTATAGATAATCGATATGTAAGTGATTTATTTCTTGTACGATTTTAAAATATCCATCGAACGTCATTTTCGACTACTTCGATCATTCGCCATAACTTTAATCAAATCGAGGTGGAAATCGATCCACATCGATTTTACCTCTGTGCGCGTATATATATTCATAGTTCAGTGAAATTATAAGTACGTTGATTATGAATATTCGATGATTATGTTTTTATATCAGAAGCATGTGGAGAAATTTTTGATGACCCATCTTGTTTTACGCTTTTTTTTGCTATTTCATGATTTTATTTTATGAAAGGCATTTCCAATTTTCGGTTTGATTTTATCAAACTATATAATGTAATTCTAATCTAGAAAATCGTTGGTTCTCTTTTGAGGCAGACTGAGATTGGAAATGCCTTGGCCATTAGGGCACGTTGCTAATGCACACGGTTCTTTTTCAGATTGGGGCCACCCCCTTTCTCTTTCCCTTTCACTTTGCCTAGCCTTGGCCAATATTTTCACCCATGCATGTACCTTGGCAGCGCCATCGCCTTTAACTTCGCCTACAACTGGTTGTGAAGCCACTATATGGAGGTCACCCCTCATAACTGGGACCTCCCCTTCAAGCCCCTGGCCATCCTGGCTTCAGTCGAGTAAAAATGGACCAGCGAAAGATAAGTCGATAGCGTTATAGCAGCGCCAAAGATGTAAAACTTATTTTGTTATTTTTGTAAAATTGTAATGTAATGAAAATGCCTTTTTTTTTTTTTTGTTAAATAAAATCTGTTAAATTTTTGTGTTCTGTTTGTTCTTCTGTCCTCTAGCCATGCCATGGTCGACACACAGCTACACGCCTGTAGATGTCTTCATGCCACCGACTGAGCTACCGGAAGCTAATTGTAACCCCCTTTCTGTGATTGTGCAGAAAACTTGGAATCTTCATTGCATTCCATCTTTTCTGGACTTTTTGCGGAAAGGAAGCGTTACAGAATGAGATACCACAGGAGGACGTTGACCACCTGATCAGAAGCATGCCTAGGCGCGTTGGAGAATGCGTAGCACATCAGGGTGCATCCACACATTATTAAAGGTCTTTAAAGGCTTTAAAGCAGTGCAATCATTTTGAAATTTTTATCATATACTTATTATGCTTCATTAAGTACTTATACAAAATTTTATTAAAATAAAACCATTTAAACTGGGTGTTCGGATTTATATGTCACTTAGTATAATTAGTAATCACATGTAGGTAATTTGCTTATTTATTTATTACTTAATTGTTTTATTGTTATAGGTGCAAAATGGCATCGAAAAAAAGATAGTTTTCCGAAGATTACGTTAAGTTTGGATTTACCTTCATAGAAAAAGTCGAGTTACAATTGCCTTAGTGTGTGATATGTATGAAAGTTTCAAGTAATGATAGCATGTGGCCCAATCGTCTTGAAAGCCATTTGAAGCAGCAATATCCTACTATGGTTTTGAAGAGAAAGGGTTTTTTTCTTCTATAGCAGAATCACTCAAGCGGACGAGACTGGATAAATCGGGAAGTTATCACATAGGTGCATCGCAACATCTCAAAGCTTCATTTGAAATAGCATTTATGATAGCAAAGCAAAAGAAACCTCATACTATCGGTGAAGAATTAATAAAACCATGTGTCCTAAAAGCCACACAGATAATTTTAGGAGAAGATGCAGGGCAAAAAATGAAGTTTATTTCTCTTTCGAATATCACAGTCAAGCGTAGAATCGATGACATTACAGCAGACATAAAGTCACAAATAATTAATAAAGTAAAATTATCGCCATTTTTTGATATTAGGTGCGATGAATCCACCGACATCGCTAATTGTGCACAGTTAATAGTTTATGTTCGTTACGTTGGCGCAGTTATCATTCAAGAAGAGATTTTGTGTTCCCAGTCTTTGACAGCAGTTACTGTATCTGAAGATATATCCAATTCAATACCAAATTCTGTTGAAAAAAATGATTTGGATTGGAAGAAACTCATTGGACTTTGCACAGGTGGCGCACCTGCAATGATAGGTGTACGATCGGGCTTAGCTAAAAAGCTCAAGAAAAAATCCCGCAATGGTTAGTATACATTGTGTTCATCGGCAAGCTTTGGCTTCCAAAACATTGCTACAGAGATTACGCCAGACTTTGGACTCGGCTATATGGATTGTAAACTACATCAAGAGCAGCGCTTTGAACAATCGGTTATTTACTTTAAGCTGGCTGTCCAAAGGGAACATGTTGGCTCGCCTTTACGAATTGAAATAAGAGGTAATTAAGAAGAAAGGTAGGAAGGAAGAAGGGAGGGCAAAGAAAAAAGAAGTGCATCAATTTGAGGGGTGCCTTGGCATCGCTAGTTAGTATTCGGCAATTTTAAATTGATCCTAAAATTAATTTTGGGATTGGTTGTTGAAGAAAAATTATAATTTTGGTTGGACCTAAAGTCGCACGACTTAATTTTGTTCACAGTGTGAGTCGCGGCCTTGTCTGCTTGCGAACTTGCTCGACCGTGTAGTCTACTGACTCGCGCAACAAAGGGTTGTTATGCGATTCTGCTTGACTGTAACGTAGCTGCGCTTGTTGTTTGATGTAGTCCCTTAGGTAAGGGATGTCAAGGTCTCTGTGAAGGCTCTCGTGGAAACATACCATGGGGCATTAGTGACTGTACGCAAGGTTCTGTTCTGCAAAACCTGCAGGCCTCGCAAATCCGTTTTGGCGAGAAAACACCAAGCCGCACTTGCGTAAGTGATCGCTGGTCTAATAACCATCTTGTATAGCCGAACTTTGTTGATCAAACTTAATTTTGATGTTCTACATAGCATAGGGTAGAGTTGCTGAAATGAGATTAGGAATTTAGTTTTTAACGCTTCAGTGTGCTTCTGCCAGGTTTTCCCCTTGTCAAGAGTGACACCGAGATACTTAGCAGAGCTTTCCTATAGTACCCGAGCTCCATTCACTGAAATCTCAGACGGGGCACCGCTACGTTTTTTAGTACAATAGATTGCCTTTGTTTTCGAACGATTAATTTTGATCAGCCTCCGATTCGCCCATTCCAATACCTCGTCCACTGCACTTTGCAGCCTGTCGTGAACTAGATCCCCAGAGCATGACTGGGCCACCAGGGCAGTGTCATCGGCATAGATATAGGATTCACAGCTGCTGGGGCAAGGGACGTCATGAATAAAAAGTGAATAAAGGACTGGTCCAAGAACCGAACCCTGAGGGACACCGGCTTTCATGGACCGTGTTGTCGACAGAACGTTATTAATTTTGATCCGAAATTTCCTACCCTCGAGAAAGGATTTCAAAGGTTTTAGGAGCCAGAAGGGGAAGCCCTTATGGATCAATTTGTAGAGAAGGCCCTTGTGCCACACCTTGTCAAATGCCTTCGAGACATCCAGTAGCAAGATGCCAGTACTTTAGTTACGGGTGAACCCCCTGGTTACTCGTTCAACAAGCCTTATGGCCTGTAGCTCCGTACTATGCTCAGACGGAAAGCCAAATTGCACGTCAGGAATCACATTGTGGTCTGCCGAGAAATTTTCAAGGTTACGTAGAATCACCTTTTCAGCGAGCTTAGAAGGAGCTGACAGTAGACTAATGGGGCGGTAATCCTGGGGGAATATCGAACCCACCTTCTTTGGAATCAGCGGTCTTCCACGCCGTTGGAAAGTGCTGGGTCCTTACCATGGCATTGATTATTGCCACGAGGTAAGTTAAGGACTTCCGCGAAAATAGCTTCAGCGCCTTATTAGTGGTTCGATCCTCTCCAGGTGCTTTACGCACCTTGAGGTCTTTAATATGACCTTGGAGCTCTGCTCGTGTGCAGTGCGGAGTCTCAGGAGATTCCGCTGATGTGCCGTGCAGCTCTTCAATTGAGGAATCCTCTGAAGATTCCTCTGAGGAAAAATCACTAAGGGAGGCACTACTGCCACTGACGCCGTTGGCCCTAAAATATCTCCTGACGGATCTTACAATATGTTGCTCCTCGTCGAGGTCATTATCAAGGTCATAGTTGGGAGAGAACTGACTTTCCATTGCATCAGCGAAAACCTCGACCTTTTCCTCTGTCCTACAGACTATGCCCCTAGGACCGTGGATGTGCGGGAGTTGTTTTCGCTTTCCATTTCTGAGCGACTTTGCAACTTTCCAGAGAGAGGAATACTTGAGTCAAGCATCCCCGACAGAAAGTCACTCCATTGCTCATTACGGAATTCATGAAGAGCATTTCTCACTTCATGAACAAGATTCGTTGCTCTGTGAATGTCATCTGGGTGACAAGACCTCTTCGCTTGCTTAATTGCAGCTCTTTTGTCAGAAATTTTCTGACGAATGTCTGCAGGGAGAAAAGGTCTGCCGTGTCGTCGTACTGGTAGTACAGCTGCACGCTGCAGAGCTTGCTGAACGGAACTTGTCCACTCCGCTTGAGCAGCATCTATATCGTTCTCATCATCTATGATCGGAATATTGGGGAACTCTCTAAGGAGCGACTTGTATAGCTCCCAATCAACCCTTTTTCTTGGAAGAGTTTCCCCTTCCAAGGTTTGCTCATTACCCACTTCCAGTACGATAGGAAGATGATCGCTCGAAATGTCATACAGGATTCGAGAAGTGACACTGAATCTACAGTTTCTAGATATCGCGAAGTCAATGACATCTGGTGCCTGAAGGTGATTAAATGGGTGGTCAGTCGGCTCCTCAGTGCTGTGTATGAGGTAGCCGTTTCGTATCACATGGTTATAAAGTCGAATCCCAATGGTGGAATTTAACCTAGAGTGCCATGCTCGATGTTTACAGTTAAAGTCCCCTGCTACAATAAGCGGACCCGAGCAGTCAAACAGGACTTCCAGATCTGTCTCTTGCAGCCTGGCACCGCATCTGACATAAACCCGATATGATTTTCAACGAGATACCTCCCGTCATATTCACTACCACGGAAGTTGCCTCGATGCTCTGCATCTCAGCGTTTGTGCTTCTGTAATAGTCAATACCACGTTTTACTAGCACTGTCAAACCGCCACGCCGTCCAGTTAGTCTATCAGCGCGGATAACATCATAATTCTGGAAAGCTAGACGATCTTCCGGATTAAGCAATGTTTCCTGCAGCAGAGCTACATCTACGTTCTCATCCAAAAGAGCTTGATGAAATTCCCGTTTTTTGGGGACATCCCTAAGGCCCAAACAATTCCAGAAAAGAATTTTGATGAATTCAGGCTGTCTGCTCTTGTACCTAGCCATTTAGCGGAAAGATCACCTGCAATGCTTTAGTGGCGCTTATCAGGGGACTAATAATCTGCTGTAGGGACCTGAGCGCTGTTGCTAGGCATTTTGAGTAGTCGTAGATGAGCTCGAAACAGCAGGGGCAGTTGAGGTGTCATCTCTTGCTGCGTGATGATAGCTCTGGCAAAAACAGAACCTAGAATCAACCAGCTGGCCCAGAACGTGCAATCTCAAGTGTCTCATTACTACCTACTCTTAGTTTATTCAAGTTTTTGGATAGAAAACAGTTATTAGTTACTTTTAAAGTTTCCTTAACGGCGCTCTCACAGTCAAGCAGAGTTTCTGAGGGGTATCGGGGGGGTGATAGGGAAACGCTAGTAGGACGGCGTTGTGACAAGGCAAGCGCTCTACGTTAGAAAAGGATAGTAATACGCAGAGGTGTGCTGTTCGCGTGCCTGGTTGAATTTGCATATTGCACAGAGTCGGATTTGATTTGGATATACGATCTAGCGTACGACTGTTTCCCTATTTTGGCTCATAGTATACCCAGCCCTTATTACTCTTATTACAGTTATTGTATTGTTGTATTATCGTGTTGTTATTGTTGTGTTGTTATTGTTGTGTTGTTATTGTTGAGTGTCTTTCTTATCAAGGTATCAAAAATGAACAATAAGAGAAATAAACGTGGCGTCTCGAAGAAGCCGCATTTAAATACGCACAGGAAAGATAGAAAGGTAGGTACCAAAACAATTATGAATTTTAGCATTCATTTTGCCAATAAATTAGACTATACGTAGTTACTATTATAACTATATTTTATATGTTATTTTAGCTTAAAAATGACAGCAAGGTTTTGCATATGCATTCTCTAACAGAGACAGATGGCATGGATCTTCAAATTCAGGTGTGTATACCTGTAAACCCCTTTTTTTTTAGATTTGCACCAGAGGCTGATATCATTTCTGGCAATTCTGATTAAAAATGCAGTAAGTTTACTTTATGACGTCGATAATAATATTGTAGAGCAGTTTAACGCAATCATAGCTAAATTCATTGGGGGTAAACGGATTAAATATTGCAAGAAGAGATCCTACCAAGGAAGATGTGCTGCAGCCGTAGTGAGCCATAATACACAGCGGCCTGTTTGTGTGATCCAAAAGCGGCTACTCCCTAGTTTCATTCCAACCTCTTTGATTGCTAAAGTTGAAGAAAGGAGAGCGCACAAAAATCTGAAAAGGAAGCTGAAACCAAGGAAAATTAAAATCAGGGATAGTGATGCTAAAGAGAACGCATCCTATGGGGAATTCTGTGGGAAGCCTGACATGAGCAACGAAGATATAGAGGCTGCCAAGGTAGAATTCTTGAAAAAACTTGCAAAAACCGACTCCGAAATTTCCTAGATCGAGCAAGCCACAAAATCTCAGGATTGCAATTTGTGGCGTCTTCATCGAAGAATGAGGTTGACTGCAATGCATGTGACTATGGAAAAAAGCATGAAAGCGTGGCAAAAGCAGAAATAGAGAAATCATATTCGCAATCAGAAGTACAATCTTGCGGGTTGTTTATTGATAGGACCCATCCATTTCTGGCAGCATCGCCAGATGGTTTGATAGGCGAAAAAGGTCTGCTAGAAATTAAACGTCCATGGTCGGCTAGAGAAATGACCCCTGAAGAGGGCATTCTGAACAAAAAAATTACGTTTTGGATAAACGATGAAATAAATAAAAAACATACATAAGTGGTATTACCAAATTCAAGGGCAGCTACACGTTGCACAAAGAGAGTACTGTGTGCTTGGTGTTTGGACCCCGTATGGTTTGAAAATAGACGTCATTTAAAAGGATGACGTTTCCTGGAAAAATGAAATGGAAGAGAAATTGAAATTCTTCTACATGAACTACTTGCTCCCAGAACTGGTCGATCCCAGAAAAAGCAGAAATATGCCAATCCGCGATCCCGATGTGATCTTGAAGGCACAAGAGAACCGTTTGAACAAGAAAAAGATTTCTTGAGAATTGGCAATTTTTGCTGTACTCGGGTACCAAAATGGAAGAGATTAGCATATTACATTGTACGCCGATACTAACCCCTTCGTAATTGTAATCTCTTCCATTTTGGTACTAGTACCAGATGTTCACTATTTATTGTATGTTATGTATATATTGTTTATTTAAATAAAATTCAATCGTCTGGCT